ACCATATTTGGCTCCAGTTAAGGTGTGAATTTTTGTAGAAATCCTCATATATCCATAAGGCATCTTCCCCCTAGATACCGCGGTAATATTGTTTTCTCTACTGAATTTCGTAGATCATGTTTTTGTGCTTTAGTAAATAAGAAGTTTTGTCACTTTTTGCTGAAGACTTTATATATCTGTTTTAGACTTACTTTTTGATACCAAATAATGTTTTACATCTTTAAAAGTTAAGCACAGAATATGGGTACATATTTCCTGCCTGTTGAAAGCAGGAAATTTGTACGCATGATATTGTACACAATTTTTACTATTAAGATATGAGAGATTTAGCTGTGTTATTCTTGTTACGAATTCGGAACTTAGTTCAGTTTTTATTTCTTTATGGCTAATTTTTCGCGCTTGCTTTATTCTGAAATATTTTACTCATCAGTTTCGCCCATAGTCTCGATGTTTTGGCCGTCTTACATATTGATACCTCGGGGCTTAATCTTTCCTTTGACTATATTTAGAACGCAGCATTTACTGATACACGTCTAAAGTGTATATTAATACACAATGATCGAAAGTTTTAGCATCTGATCTAGGTGGTTTCGAGTCAAAACCGTTTATTTCAAATCATCTATATACAACAGATGATTAAGCTTCACGGCCACACCATTGTCATTTTTGATGATAAAACGTAAGTCAGTGGAGTTTAGCAGCTGACATAGTGGGTTCATCGCTAGATAGAACTACAGTGGACTCAACGACTTGCCTAAAAAAGACGTGTCCTATATAAAACTTAGAGGTCGCTGGTTAAATGAATTTAGAAATTATAATAGGGAAAAAATGCAATATTTTGACTGTAAATAAAAGTAGCGAAAATAGCAATTATAATTGTGAATAAAATACGAGAATTAACAGGCTTTAACTCATACTGTTATCTGTACCAAAAACTTTGACTTACCTTTTAAAATATTGATGTATTTATAGCCAGTGGAATATCGTCGGTATTACGTCGCGACACCCGGAAACGCAGAGGCTCGATAGGTGGAGAACCGATAAAACTGGATGCGTATCGTTCGCAGTCTCGTGATGAAGTGTTTCGTGAGAATGTCAGAAAGAAACCTCTGACCGTCAGGTGGTTCTTGGGAGAAGTGCATCCCATATATTAGCACTATTGTAATGCGCTTTGATTTGTGACACAAAATAACAAAAGAGAAAGTTAAATTCTCTGAACAGACTAAATGTGTTTAAGCTAGTTTAACAATAAGATTTTACTGAATAACAGGAAACAATATATTTTAAAGCAAATACGTTAGGACATACCATTAAATTAGATCATATTATAGTACAGTAATATAAAGTAAAAAACATGTAAAATATGAAAAATAAATACTAAATACATTCCCAAACATTCTCCCTCTCCAAAAACAAATGTTTTTAAGAACAGCGGAAATTATAAGTATAAGGAATAGACATGAAAAGAACTATATACTAATAAAGAACTAAGTCAGCTAAAATATGAATTTACAAATATGAGGCGATCGTATTTTGACCACAGGATATTGTTGGATGCTCTCTGAATCTGTGCTCAGATTAACAACGCGAACAATGCCATCAATTAAAAGAATAGCGTCGACTGTCGATTCAGTAAAATTTTTCTACCTACTAAATTAAAACAGACTGTCAAACAGAGTATCGTTGGCCTCTTTTCCTATAAGAATTCTGTAGAGTGCGAAAAACAAGAAGTAAACAGCGTCGAAATCTCGGCGTGGTGTCGAATTTTAGAAGAGAGTTTTCGACGACAGCCGTTTGATGACAATTGTACCAATTGTACCGGTGATAAAGCACGACTAACACAATCAGAGAGGTTTTGATTAGAAGGCATATAATGCCGAGTAGATCGTGGTATCAGTGCTTGCATGTGTTTAATAAGATTGGCAATTTGGGGGTAGAAAAATAAGCTCAAGGGAGCGCAATCGTCGAATCAGACGAAACGTTGAAAGATAGGAAGGAAAACCCTGTGAGACATGTGACTAGATCAGTCAGCAATATGGCTGTCAAGAGATCCAGTTTTGTCGAGTCAGAGCAGCATGAAAATTTGACGAGACTCATTGACAACAGTGACTAGATCAGTCAGCAGTATAGCTGCCAAGAGCTCCGATCTTGCGATAGATGTTCTTGTATAGAAGAACACCAGAAATGTAACACGTTCAAGTACAGAGGACAGACGTATCTGTTCAAATGTTTTATCATCCCAGGATGCAGTGAAGTACCACAACGGTTGTAGAAGACGTTTGAATAGCAAAAAGACATGGAAAAATAATTAAAATAAGGGGATAGAAAAAAATACGACTGATTTAAAAACGACTAGCCCACTGTGTGCAAGATGTGCCACAGGGACGAGACGAATAAGAAAAAAGTCAGTCGTAGGGTTCCATTCTAGGCCCAGTACCGTAAAAATGGAAGGTTCTTCTTTGTCCAAGGAACAAAATCTCAAAATGTCTGAGCCAAAGCCTTGAAAATAAACGAAGATGGATGCTGACGTTCTTGATTTATCTAGCGAAAAAACATCGAGCTTTAAAAGCTAATTAGTTAGAATATACCATTAAATTAGATCATATTATAGTACAGTTAAAAAAAGTAAAAAAGTATAAAATATAAAAAATAAATACTACATACTTGCCCAAACAAGAAGATATACGTAAATTCTAGGACTGCAAAAAATATTTAATGATACTATGAACCAACAACAAAAGGTGCGTGTGCTGGACATGAAAGTAAGATAAAATGAAACCAACATCCCAAAACCACCAAAATAAGTCAAAAGGTGATTAATTGATGGATTCGACCATTACTTGATGGTAATTCATTTTACGTAACAATAAAACACTGAAAACTTTGTATTTAAACTTCCACAAAATTTATTTTAAATCTTATCACTACAGCTGTTTCGGCTAATTGCCTTTCTCAAGTGATCTATTTTTGGCTTGGGTTTACAAATTTATAGTCTCTAATGAAATATGTTGAGGAGAGGAGAACTGTTTGTCTCAAGTTGGTCATTCAGAATTATATCTGTGTTGTTTAATTTGTTGATTTCCGTAGATTCTAACAAAGATAGCTTAAGGCCTTTATTTTGAAGAATTTTAAATTTGTCATTAAAAGAATGATTATGATCTAGAAGGTGAAGTGCGTATGTAGAATCTGTTTTTCTATTTTTGAAAGCCCTTTTATGTTCTGCTATTCGTTTATCTTACATCTTACATCGGTCAAACGGGTAGAAACTTTGATAATGGAAACCTTGTTGGAAAGCCATAGAAAAGTATTTTGAGAATAAACAGAAACAACGTTTAAAAAAACTTTATAAATAATGACAAGGAAATAAGTCGAAGATCTTTAAAGTAGCAAAAATTGATATCAGCAGTATCAAAAACTAAAGGAAAAGCGTTGGTCGGGCCCAATTATTATGGAAAAAGAAAAAGACAGTTAAGATTTGATTTCACGTATAGTGCATCTGTTTTTTCGCTTGTACGTATTTCACCCTATTTCACCCTAAAAGGGATCTTCAGAGTGACTATTCACAGACATCTTTTTTAACGTGTCTGTTTTGCCTTGCAATTCTTAGAAGGCACAGATTAAAGCAGAAATCTGAATTTGGTTTCGAAAAATTAGTTTACGGATTTATTATCAGATGTCGATACTTGCGCCCATACGAAGCCATTTTAGAGTTGCTTCTACTATGATAGGAAAGATTTGTTTTTACGTTTAGAACGTCTGTGACTAGCCACTCCGAGGATCCCTTTTAGAAAATTAAAATACGTATAAGCAGATATACAAACGTACTATGCGTGAAATCAAATATTAAATGTCTTTTCCTTTTATTTCGATATACTCTTTATGAGTACTAGAAATCAATTCACTAAAGATTTTTGCTTAGTTGAGGAGATATGTTGTAGAATGCAATTTTAGAATGCATGTCTTTAATTACATCTTTATCAACGTTGGTTTTGCCTTGCAATTTATAGAAGGCACAAATTATAGCAGAAATCTGAATTTAGTTTCGAAAAAAAACTACCTAGAACCGGTATTACAGAGTAATGTAAAAATAGATGGAGATTCACATTGTAAAGTAAAAACGGGATAGATGAAATGGAAGAAGTCGATTATGGTTTGTAAGATTCCAATGAAACTGAAAGAAAAATTTTATAAAACTGTCATAGACCAGCTATGATGCATGAAACGGAAAAAAAGAGGAACGATAAATGTATCTACTAGGAGAAGTCTAGAAGTGGCACCAAATAATGCGAAAATGAGTGAGCATAAATTAAGATGGTAAGTGCATGTTCAACATAGAAATAGTAGTCACCCAATATAAAAACAGCTGATTTGCACGTTTCTGAAAAAAGTCTGTAACGAATACTCAAGAAGAGCTGGTGGTACATGTTTAGGCAGGACATGTCTGTTAAAGGGATTGACTTCGGTATGACTTAAGATAGAAACTTTTTAAGAAATGTAATTAAGAAAGTCGACCCCTTATAAGGACAAAGGCAAAAAAAATAAAGCTAATGAGATTTAAGAAGCGGATAGTATATATTTTATAACGCTTAAAAATATATATTTTAACGCTTAAAGGAAAAATATTGAGAGGACTTTCTCCAGAAATAGATAAAACAAACATGGGTAGAGAGGCGATAGCACTTGATAAATAATTGTAATTATGTTTGATGCCCTAACAGACGAAAATGTCTAAACAAAAAAATGTAAAAGCAGAATAATTATAATTTAGTATTTATTTTAAGTCTTGTACATATTTTTTACAGCTTCCAATAAATTGCTCATAAAATTCTAAAAACGTTTCGTTCAACCTCTAAACGTTTAAATATTTACGTTAAAATATTTAAATTTGTTCCTGTTTTATGACATCTGACGCGGTGGAAGTCGGGAAAACGAAATTCAGAAAGATATATTTTCTATTAAAGTTGGAGCTGAATTTCCATACTTAATTTATTTCGTTTTAGGTGGATCTGCGCCATCTGGACGAGATAAAGGGATCTAACGTAGTGGACATTGGCATCGATTTGACTGAGTTCTACACATCTGTTGAATGGGACATCTTAGAAGTTCCTGCTGTTAGGTAACTTTATTATTTAAATTTTCCTACGTTTAGATTTTGAAGATTTTCTTTTAAAAAAACTAGGTTTACGTTCTGAAGTAAAATATATATTAAAATCTATAATAAATGAATAAATTACATAAATTAACAGTTTCTATAAAAAAAGATTTTTTTATTTTAACGCTATTCTCTTGTTATTTCTCTCTGTTTTATTTTCACTTTATGCCAATTTTTCATCTTAGATTTTTTTTCATAACTCTCAATATTTCTTGGACCTTTCGTGTACCTCCAAATATTTTTCATGTTACTTATTTTATTTTTTTTTTCTTTATTGTTAATGTTTTTCATCCAAATGCAAGTGTAATTACAATATCCTCTCCTTTAGCAGTGTGTTCTGCTTTTGTTCTTTGTTTTTCTTCAGTAGTGGTTTTTTAGCATTTTCTCTCTCAAGTATACGATTTTTATACTATTTTTTATCCTAGTAATTGAATATACTCATATTGCGGTAAATATTATTCTTTGTACTTCACTTCTTTTCTTTATACCTTTGGTGTGTTGATATGTTCTCTTTCTCAGCTTTTTAATTTCTCAAGTCCTCTGCCACACAGTCCTTCCATCTTTTCGTCGGTTTTCTTCTACCTCTCATTCCATCAACTTCTAAGAGCTCTGTCCTTCATTCCCTCATAATTTTTATGTCTAAAGTGACCAAAAAATTACAGTATTTTTTCTTAAATCTTTTTTGAGACTGTTGTAACCCGAATTTTTCCCTAATCAAGTTCTTTCTGATCCTGTCCCTTCTAGTCTTATCCTATATTCACCATAACATTTTTATTTCAGTTACCTCTATCTCGTTTTTCTGAATTTCTTCACAGGCCGCACTTCATCGCCGTTCATTAGCACAGATCTCACTACATACCTGTATTCATTTTTTTTCAGTTCTTCTCCAATTTTAGTATCCCATTTTTAGTTATGTAGGTGCCAAAGCATTTAAATTTTCCTACTCGTCCTAAGTGGTGTAATATAAAAAACACATTACTGAAACCAGCTCAAGAAAGTTTAATAGAACATAAATCAGAGGCTAAAAAACACTGGATGACAGAAGAAATACTATTACTGATGGAAGAAAGAAGGAAATATAAAGGAAAAGATCTATAGAAGTATAAAGAAATACAACGAATAATTAAGGAAAAAATCAAAACAACTAAGGAAATCTATTTGATGAGGCAATGTAGAGAGATAGAAGAACTAGAAACAAGATATGATATGAGAAATATGCACAGAAAAATTAGAGAAGTGACTGAAATGGGTCCAAATAGACAGCAAGGACACATAAAAGACAAAAAAAGAGTACTACTAGTAGATTTACCAGAGAAGTTAAGGCGATGGGAGGAGTACGTTAGAGAACTTTTCCAAGATGAAAGAGGTGAAATGCAGAAAATACAAGAATTAAATCCTTTAGAGATACAGAAGATCACGATAGATTAAATCAAATATGCTATCAAAAACAATAAGGCAGCTGGATTAGATGAAATACCAGTAGAACTGTTAAAACTAGTGGAAGAGGACAACTTGGAAGTATTGGCAGATTTATTCAACACGGTGTACGATACGGGAATAATACCACAGGAGTGGCTAAAGTCAGCATTTATAACCATCCCTAAAAAACAAGCAGCAAAAGAGTGCTCTGATTATCGAACACTGAGCCTCATGAGTCATACTTTAAAAGTTCTGCTAAAAATAATACATAAGAGAATATACGAAAGGCTAGAGGAGGATATTAGCGAGACGCAGTTCGGGTTCCGAAATGGAATGGGTACTCGAGAAGGACTATTTGCCATCAACATATTGATTCAGCGATGTCGGGATGTAAATGTTGATCTACACTTGTGCTTCGTTGATTACGAAAAAGCTTTCGATAAAGTAAGACATGAAAAACTAATATCAATACTTATGAACAAGCGCATTGACAGTAAAATCATAAATAAAGTGCAAACATTATATTGAAACCAAAGTGCCATAGTTCAAATTGATGGGATCATAGCAACGAGTATAGAGGATCTACAACATCTTATCGAAAGCTTGAGTATAAATAGTGCTGAGATGGGAATTACTATAAACGCTAAAAAAACGAAGTACATGCTGATTACAAAAAGGCCACAAAATATACATCACCTATTGACAATAAATGGTAACGTGATAGAACAAGTAAAAAAATATCAGTATTTGGGAACTTTGATCAATGAAACCAATGATCATACTGTAGAAATAAACAGACGAATAGAGATTGCCAGATCAGCATTTATACGAATGAAGCCACTCCTAACGTGCAAAAATCTAAATTTGGAGATCAGACTACGTACCATTCGCTGTTATATATTTTCAATATTATTATATGGAGCTGAGACTTGGACATTAAAAAAATGTAATTTAAAAAGAATCGAGGCCTTCGAACTCTGGTTATACCGCAGATTATTGAAAATATCATGGACTGATAGAATTACAAATAAAGAAGTACTGGAGAGGGTTGGTAAAGAAACAGAACTAATCACCACTATACAAACCAGAAAACTGGAATACCTAGGCCACGTGATGAGGGGACCAAAATATGAAATTTTGAGACTGATAATACAGGGAAAGATTCAAGGAAGAAGATCTGTTGGCCGAAGGCAGAACTCATGGTTAAAGAATCTACGTGACTGGTACCAATGCAGATCGATTGATTTGTTTAGAGCAGCAAGTTCTAAAATAAAAATAGTCCATTATGATTGCCAACCTCCGTAGGGAGACGGCACTCTAAGAAGAAGACTCGTCCTAGTTTTTCTCTAGGTGGAGAAATTCGATGTCTCTAACCATTCCTGTTCAAAAAGAGGTTAATTTTTGTAAATGGGTATATTTATTTAAAAAACCCTTAAAAGGGCCACATCAATAAAACAAACGTTTTCGGACCACACAGTCCATCATCAGGTTTTTAAAATCGAAAAATGCTAGGTCAAAATGCCTGAGCCACCAAAATACTAGGGTAAAAACCCTTTAAATTACATTTAGTTATGAAATATTGTACATTGTGTTGTAAAATAACTGTGGTGTTCAGTATTAAATTAAATTTGACTATAGGTAACACATGGCTCAATAGGGTTCCAGAGCCGGTGAGAGGGAACCTCTGCACTCGGAGAACAGCGTGGAACTGAGTGGATTTCATTCCTGTTCCTCCCATACACATGTACTCCATTTTAAATCTGCTATCCCAAAGTCTTCTTTCTTCAATAGTCCTTCTCCAACCCGCCAACTTATCCCTTAACATTTCTTTGTCCTCCTCTACTAACACGATATCATCAGCAAAGAGCATCAACCAAGGAGTCCCCTCTCTTACCTTCTCTATCAGTATATCGATATCAAGATTAAACAAGTAGGGACTCAGTGAGAAGCCTTTACGAAAACTGACCGCCACTGGAAAACCTTCTGTCAATCCAACACAAGTCCTCGTTTTCGTGTACGCTCTTCATACATGATTCATAAGCCATATGTACGACTTTGTGTCGATTTTTCAAGATTTATAAATACCAAATATAGCTCTGCTTTCTTCTCGCCTTATTTCTCTATCAACTGTCTCGAACCAAACAAGGTATCCTTTGGCCTCCTTCTATGCATTTTAACCTCTTATGTTTGTTTATTTAGCGAAGTTGGAGCTACAGATGCTCTTTTTACTTCCATCATTTTAGTTTTATTTCTAAATTACATATCTTGGTATTTAATCAACGTATGTGTAATATTATATGTTGATGGTCACGATTATATGTTGATGGTCATATAATTCAAAGAGTGTCCAGTTATAAATATCTTGGTTGCCATATTACTGAACAACTAGATCCAGATCAAGAGATAAAATGTAGAATCGAGATAGCCCGCACGACATTTTTAAAAATGAGGTCATTCTTCTGTAATGACAACTTGAAACTTCAACTTCGAAAGCGTATGGTTAAATGCTACATTTGGTCAGTCCTCTTATACGGTGTCGAAGCATGGACATTAAAAATATCCACCATTAATCGTCTGGAGGCCTTTGAAATGTGCCTGCACAGACGTATACTAAAAATTCCATGGACGGCTATTCTGACAAATGTGGCAGTCCTTGAGAGAGCAAATGCTGCTCGCGAGCTGCTTGATAACATCAAATGTAGAAAGAAGGCCTATTTTGAACACGTAGTAAGGGGAGACCGATATAATATTCTTCAACTTATTATGATGGGTAAAATCTAAGGACGCAGAGGCATTGGTAGAAAGCAGGCCTCTTGGTTAAAGAATATCAGGGAGTGGACAGGAATAAAGAAAGCTGAGCAACTCTTTAGAATAGCTCGAGACAGAGACAGTTTCGCCATGTTAATCGCCAACATCAAGGGGACTTGATAGGGCACGTTAAGAAGAATGTGTAATAAATAGTGTAAAGGTTAGAGAGATAATCAGTTAAGTGCTCTGCAAAATCCAAATATAAGGTGAGTTTTCTGGCTATGACATGTCTATTTTATAATATAGTAGATACTGAGAAAAAAAATTAATGGGCTATATAATAGAGGAACTATTTTTAAACAATCAACGCAAATTGTAGTATACGCCAGTGATCTATTCCTAATAGCTCGCACAGACCAAAAATTTAAAGAAGCGTTTGCTTTGTTCCCAATTGATGCAGAAAATAAGAACCTCATAATAAAGGAATTAAAAATCAAAAGTAGGAACAGTACCCTGATATACCAAGTTTTCTTCGTCTCAGAGATAGCTACAAAATTTTAGAACTAAAAAGATAATACCTAAGTGTAGAAATTTTTAAGTCAATAAAACAAGATTAATTGTGGGGATAACAGTATATTTTCTTTGACTGATTGTGATGGTAAAATCCAAAATGATTCGGAGAGTCAAACAAATGTTCAGAATAGCTCAAGAGAGAGAGGGTCTTGCAGTGTTAAAGTAGGTAAACTCTAAGGGGACTTGATAGACCATGTTAAGAAGAAGGAACGAAATTAATATATAAGATACTTATTCTCCCAGTGGTGACATATGGGTTCAAACATGACAACACAACTCATTTTGTATAAAGATTAAAAAAAATATATTTAATTCACGACGATATAATGTCGGGTTTTTCTAGAAATAAAAGAAATGGCAGATAGGGTATTCTTAATAATAATAGGCTGAGCTAAGTTGAGCTAGATACCTGTTAATAGCGAGTGAAAACGCTCCTTTCAGACAAACTCTATTATTGCTGAACGTGGAAAATGGGAAAATTGACAGATCAATTAGAACATACTACAGAAGGTCAAGGCGCAACTAGGACTGCAGTATTACTGATGATAATTATTTTAGGCAGTTTTTCTTTCAAATAAAACGAGATTCGTCAAGTAAATAAGATAAAAAAATAATAAAACATTCCTGGGGAATCTAGCGATACAGTTCCTACATAAGTAGCCAGGAGCTGTCCGCAGGAAGTCTTATCTTCTCTCTTTTGGAATCTGGTCATAGATGGGCTCACTCGACAACAACATAAATGATATCCTGGGCTATGCGGATAACTTGATCACGGTAAAAATGGCACAGTCAGTTATAGAATGCAATAGGCTTTGGGTATAGTTATATAATATACTTCAAATGCAGGGCTTAACATAAGTCCGCAAAATTTTAAAATTGTAAAACTTACCAGATTTAAATGGTATACGTATAAATCTGGTGAATAAAATAAAAAGATCTAAATTTTGGGGTTATATAAGAGTAGTGGCTCAGTTAGAAGGGTCAGTGGTCTAGGAATATTTAGCAGTAGTGGAAATATAAATATTTCCACCTGCTGAAATTTTAAAAGCATTTAAACTTTGCCAAAAATTCATACATGCCAACCTTCTACTAATCGTAGATTCACTATCACTCTACTGTACCCAAAATCATCAAACAGGTCTATTCAGCTCTAACTTGGAAAAGTTTTGAATTTATTTTTAGCTGTAAAAATTCGTAAGTATATTTTTTACGTTTAAATTTCATTATTTGACATTTTTGACAAGATTGAGATTATGAGGTTATTAAAAGGTAAACATTATATTCAGCAAATAAAATGAATTATTAAATTGCAGTATTACTATTAATATGAATGCAATTTTGAATGCAATGAACGCAAGCATTTGCAAAATCCTATTTTGTTAAATAACAGGGTATCTGTCATTCGCTTATACATATTTAAACCTCATTAGGTATCATTAGAGCGTCAAATGTCCTACTTAGTGAAACTAAATTAAAATTTTTACTACTGCGCTTTCTACAACTTGCAAAACAGACATATTAATCAATAAGCCTCTGCATATGACGCTCTGATGATCTAATAAGGTTCAAATATGTATAAGCGGATGGCAAGTGCCCTGCATTGAAATTAAATCTAAGACCGTCTTTCTATTTTATTTCTTGACTCGGTTTCTAGTACTAAAAATCAAATTCATTAAAAATGTTTACAGGGATGAACGGAATGTGGAATGTAAATTATAGATTCCCTTGTCGACTAATTTATCAATCTGTCTGCTTTGCAAGTTGTAGAAAGCGCAGTGGTAAAAATTTAAATTTAGTTTCGACAAGTAGGAAATCCTAGCGAAAACTTGTTCTTAATACTTCAGAATTTTTCTATTAAACCACATCTCAAATAAATTAAGTCTTCTTATTAAAGCGTTTACTGTTGCTGTTCATAATACGTAGCTGCTGTAGTGATTCTTTCCCAAGTTAACATGGTCTTTTTTAACTTGGCTGCACCGTACTGAATTAAATTTTTAGCAAAAGCTGCTATCGCTTTGTTGAATTGAATGGCCTAGTAGGACAAATTCGTTAAACTTCCCGTGTTCTAATCGGTATCAATAGAGTATTATGACTCATTTCAGCAGCCCTGCTTCTTTAGACACTCGGGCTGATATAAATTCAAACTCGAAAAGTCCAATAAATGTCTCCTAAGACTTTACTACGGCAGTGGCTAGCTTACAGAGGTAGCAATACAGAGGTATCTTGCACTGGAATCTTGTACTATAGAACCAATATCTTATTTTCATTTTAAGAAATATCTATTTTATACTTTTCAATTTTATTCCGCATAATCTTATATTCGTAATTATTTGTTTTAGGAATGAAAAGTTTTATACATGCTGTGATGAACCGTACCTAGACATAACATTCAACATAACGATGAGAAGAAAGACGCTCTTCTATACCGTTAATCTTATAATCCCATGTATGGGCATCTCTTTCCTCACCGTACTTGTGTTCTATCTTCCCTCCGACAGCGGCGAAAAAGTAAGGAAACCATATAAATAAAATAAAAAATATTAAGAAATATCTTAGTAAATGGAATATTTTTATAGGTTAGTTTATCCATCTCTATTCTTCTTTCGCTGACTGTATTCTTCCTCCTTCTCGCTGAGATCATTCCACCCACGTCGCTTGTGGTACCCCTGTTAGGCAAATTCGTGTTGTTCACCATGATTTTAGATACGTTCAGGTAAGTGGTTTATATTTTATTAATTTTATAAAGCCGCTGCTGTTTGAATTTTTGATTAAAAGTAAATGTTATAAACAATACATAATCCCTTAACTTACAATAACCAGTTACTGTCGTAACGCCTTTTCCATCCATCTATAAATCACCTTCCAAACCACTTTCACACCTATCACACCAAAACCTATCAAGAATCGAACAAGCAAGGAAAACATTCATGAGCATGAAAACATTTCTTACAAGATCAGACCTTAGTCTGCAGCTCAGAATCCGAATGATCAGATGTTACGTTTTTTCTGTCCTACTGTATGGCTGTGAAAGTTGGACATTGGACTCTGAAATAGAAAAAAGAATAGATGCCTTTGAGATGTATATATACAGACAAATGTTAAGAATTCCATGGGTACAAAGAGTTACTAATGTTGAGGTACTTCATCGAATGTGTAAACAAAAATAATTACTAAGAATAATCAAAGAGAAGAAAATGCAATACTTGGGTTATGTGTTGAGAGGCGAAAGATATGAATTATTTCAAGTTATACTGTAAGGAAAAGTACAGGGCAAAGATTAGTAGGAAGACGCCACAACTCGTGAAAAAAGATGGTTCCACCGCTCATTCGCAGAAACCTTATGCGCAGCAGTTTCCAAAACTACAATTGCCATTTGGATCGCCAATCTTCGAAAGGAGACGGCGCCATGAGAAGGAGAAAAAACCGCTTAACCTACAAATTCTTGAAAGGAAATAGGAGCTCCAGTTTGTAGTAGAAGATTTCAACAGCCACAGTGATGGCTGAAAAATAGGAAGACCCCAACTTACTCTCCGTAATACATGACACAAAGCTGTCATGTTCGTTAAACAGCAAAATCTAGAAACGTGGCTACGACCTCGATAATTTATAAGCGAGAAAATCCAATATTCCTGTTTAAAAAATAAGGTGCAATCACTAAAACTCAAAATAGACCAACAGGTGTCCAAATTTATTCAGCCAATAAAACAATCGAGATACCCTTCCAAAGACGTCTCAACTTTAAAAAGTCCAACTGGACTGAGTACTCTGACAGCCTCGTGACAGTGCTCTTAAAAATAGGAAAGCTGCAGGAGTCGATGATATATGCGTGAAGCAAATTAAACATTTTGGCATCGTGGCAAAAAGCTGGATCCTATGCTTGTTCGATAATTGCCAAACGACATTCAAAATACCAAAATTGTGAAGGAAAGCAAAAGTCATAGCTAAACTGAAACCTGAGAAAGGCTCAGAAACCTGTATGAAAAAATTATTTTGCACCACATAGAGAAAGTGGTTGATACGAATCATACCACAGCAAGCAGGTTTCAAACCTGCATCAGTCAAGTTCTAGTTCTGTTGGAACATATCGGGAACGGATTTGAAGGGAACGGGTTGGAACATATCGGGAACCTGCTGCAGAAAGTCTACTTCATTCTTAAGAACCACCAACTCGTCAAAATAGTTAAATCACTACTGCAAATAGACGATTACACGTGAGTCTTATGGGGAAAAATTCGCTGGCTAACCCAAGCAAACGGCTTGGCTCAGGGTAGCGTACTAGCAGCTATACTTTTTTAACCTATACACCAATGATCAACCAACGCCAACTTTTACTAAAATCTTCTTATACGCAGTCGACTTAGGCGTCACTGCCCTGCAAAGTTTAAGCTTTGAAGACGTCGAACAAAAATTATAAGCTGGCGTGAATTTGATGTCGAATTATTATAAAAAATTTCGCTAAAACCACCAACCATAACTCAGGTCTGTGTTTTTCACCTTTAGTCACGACTGGCCAAAAGGAAACTCAATATCATCTGGAATAACACCTGGCTAGAGCACACCAAAAAGCCAATATACCTCGGAGTCACATACGCCGCTTGTTCACATAAATACCAAATGTATTATTTAAGAATCATCTGGAGTAGTTTATCTCTATTCGCCTCGCGTCGGTAGCTTCTTAAATGCTGACGCTATTGATAACGCCACCGATCGTTTGTTCTGGATTCATCCTTCTGAGAATTGTAACACGTACCACCCATGCGTCAGAGGTACCCTATTTTGTTATAATATCTTATAATCTACCTTATAAATGAAAATAGAGTCGATTTTTCTATCTTATAAAATTACCCCCTCTCATATTTTCAAGTTAGTACTTTTATTGTCCGATAATGTGTACATTTCTGAATATTTTTTTTTGTTTTTGTATATGGATACCAAGACGCTGCTGTGAATAACTTCTACGAAAGTTATATAAAACAATGGGATGGAATGGATTTCCCAACTTTGTCCATATATCTCTTTAGCAAATTATAATACGTAACAATAAAACACTGTTCAACAGTTCCACAAAATTTATTATTAACTCTTATCACTACAGATGTTTCGGCTGATTGCATTTCTAAATTAATCTATTTTTGGCATGCGTTTACACTTTATAGTCTTTAATGGAATATATTAAGGAGGGGAGAACTGTTTGTCTCAAGTTGGTCATTTAGAATTAAATCTGTGTTTTTTAATTTGTTAAATTCCATAGATTCTAACAAAGATGGAGTGCGTATGTAGAATATGTTTTTCTATTATTGAAAGCCCTTTTATGTTCTGCTATTCGTTTTTTTAAATTTCTACAAGTTTGACCGATCTAAGTTTTTGCGCAGTCGCCACATTTAAGTTTGTATACACCACTGTGTAAGTGCTTTTTATTTTGGCTCTTGTTGTTTTTAATATATTTGCCTAAGTTATAATTTGTTCTGAAAGCTAGTGTTATTCCTTTCTTTTTTTTTTAGTGTTTGGCTCTTTTTGTTGATATTTTGCCTGTATATGTAATCGAGCAGAAGGTACTGGGTTTTTTCTCTGGTGGTGGCAATACTAATTTCAGGGCTTTCTTGTGTAGTTTTTGATTTAAAATTTTTATTGTTACATAAAATGAATTTCCATCAAGTAACGGGCAAATTCAACAATTAAATTATAATACCTTTATATATTTTTAGTAGTATTCAAGTTTCCTGTTTATTATATTGGTAATTTTCTTACTGTGTATTTGGTTATCTGTCCAATTATAGTACAATATACTTAAAATCTTAAAATCCAAATAATCTACGTGACCATATTAAATTTGTTAGTGAGGTTGTGATTAATCATTTGCTATCAAAAGCTAAAAGCATCATAAAATTAACAACCGTAATGATCCGTATTTGATAATTAACTACAATGGGCATTAATGTATTTTCAATATTAAGCGCATATATTATTCAGTGATATTTTTTGTTTTATGAATATTTACATCTATAATTGTTTTTAATAGTAGCAAAAGAGTGTCAAAATAACTGTTAAAGGTAAATTACGCATTTAAAAGTTCTCCGTGAATTTTCGTGATTTAAGAAGTCCTAAAAGAGTACAGTCCTATTCGAAAAGTCAACAAGTAAAGACCTGGCTTTTTTTATTGTTAATACAAATAATTTCTTGGGTCTATAGACCAGGCATTGAATTCATCAAAAATTAAATTGTCAATTAATATCAACAATTGACGTGCAGCTTATGTGTACATGAGCAGCACAGGAAATACCATCAAACCAACTGTTCCTTCCACAACAATCTCACAACAAGTTTCAACAATCCGCAATAAACAAGATACAGCAAACAACAACAATTCTTTAAGGCCATATGTAATAGCAGCAAAAACAAATCCGAAACCAACCTACCCAAAGAAAGAATAAGCAATCATACTCTATGCTGAAGACAGCCTCAAATTATTTGATTTTATAAAAGCAATTGCTAATATTATCGAAACCAGAAACATCTGCTTTGCCTCCAGAATCTCCAACAATAGGGTCTGTATATACTTAACTAATAAAAACATAGTAGATGAACTTGTAAAATCACATCCTACCATACAACGGGTTCCTAACTTATATACGTAAACATACGTTAACTTGTTTCTCTGCAAATAGAATCTTAATATACAATGTCCCCCCCCCCGAGTATGGCGGGGGGATATACACGGAGGTACATTCACCGCATGAAGTTATCGAAACCGTTGTTAAAAGCCTAGGTCTAAAAATTGCTTCCGCAGTATCATTTTTTAAAGCAGGCATTCCGGCGAAAGAATTCTCACATAATATCCTTAGCTTTAGGACACAAGTTTATGTGTCTCCGCCCTCCGAAACTTTTGAGCTTCAAATCTCTCTTGTGCTCTCGTTCGAAGATAATAAAAACCGCATCTTCCTTGCTACTGACAAAATGGAATGTTTCGTCTGTAAAAGATCAGGGCTTGTCACTTCAAATTACACAAATCCACCAGAAAGTACCTCTTCTGACCAGACAATCGTTTCATCTCCTTTAAGAACCGAATTCACGTCTACTGAAAAAAGCCCAGAAACTAACACTGTACCTCTCATACCAACAAAGATATCTCCTTCAGTCAATAATATACCACTTACATCATCAAATAACAACTCCTCGTTAGAACAACCAAGTCAATATATGACAGAACTAGCATAACTGAAGAATCTACTTATTGTGAACAAACTAATAGCCAAGTTCTCCAAACCATAAGGCAAGAAAAAACTTAAACGGTCAAATTGTGACTTAACCCTATCCGAAATGGCAAAAACAATCATACACGAACTTTATAAAGAAGCTCCACAAATATTCATAATCCCAGCAGATATTATAATTGCTCTTCTTGAAAACTGTCACGGTAGTAGCGATACATACACAGAAGGATTAAAATTTACACCAGACATTAAATCACTTATTTCTGCGTTATACCAAATCTATCTCAACCTTAATGAAAAATCAACCAAAAATAGACTAACTCGTCTTATAAAAAAATTTATGCACAAAACCGAACTCTTAATGGGTTATTCTACAAAATTACCCAATCTTGACTTCTCACACGAAACAACTGATGATGAGTACATCTCTGATACATCTCAAAACTCACAGACATCTCAAAAATCCTCTCATTGGCAAATTCATACTTATTCAATGGAACTG